AATGGGTTATAGATGAAATTAAATAGTATCTATAATTAAATGATAATGCCAATACATTGTAACAGAACATAAGGAACACAATGAAAGCAGTCCTAGGAGGGAAATTTACAGCACTGAATACCCATAGCTGAAAAACAGAGCAAGCTCAAATAACCTACTGTTGAACCTCAAGCTTTTAGATCAAGGGCAGGTCATGCCTAAAGCTTGTAAAAAGGAGGATGTTATAGAGAACAGAGCAAAAGTTAAAGCAATGGAGACTAACAAAATAATACAAAGAATCAATGAAACAAAGAGTTCTGTGTTACATTAAATGAACTTGACAAACTCTCAGCCAACCTTATTAAAAACAAAAAAGACCCAAACACATACAATTGGGAATCAAAAGGTGGAAATCACAAGAAGCCCTACAGATATTCAGAAGATCCTCAAAACCAAACCTACTTTCAGAATGTGTATTGTAAGATAGAAAACAAAGAAGAAATAGACAGATTCCTAGTTACATATGAATTACCACAGCTGAATCAAGAAGGTATAAAAATTCTAAATAAATCAGTATCTGTCAGTGAAAGTGAAGATGTAATTAAAAACCCATCAATAAAGAAAACCCTAGGCCCTGACAGATTCACTGCTGAACACCACAAGAAATTTAGAGAAAACCTAATACTACTACTTCAGTCTCTTTTAAGAAATTGAAAGAGAAGCCATACTCCCAAATTCATTCCTGGAAGCATGTATTATCCTGATACCAAAACCAGAAAGGAATCCAATCAATCCTTGACTGCAAATTATACTACAAAGTTATTGTGATAAAAACTGGCAAAACAAAACAAAACAAAACAACCAGACTCAAGGATCAATGGAACAGATTTTAAGATGTAGAAACAACTCCAGCATACTCAATCATCTTATCTTTGACAAAGGAGCCAAACATACTCACTGGAAGAAAGATAGCTTCTTTAAGAAATGGTGCTGGAAAAAACTGGCTTTCCACATGCCAAAGATTACAACTAGACCCATATCCCTTCCCAGGCATTAAGCTAAAATCCAAATAGCTCAAAGACTTCAATATGAAAATAGAAACAACTCCAATCTGCTGGAAGACAGGCAGAACTGAAGACTTTAGTATAGGCAAAGATCTCATGGAAAAAAACCCCAATTGCAAAGCTTCTATCAGAAATAATCAACAACTTGGACTGCATCTTATTCAAAATCTTTTGAAAAGCAAGAGAAACTACCAAGAGAGTGAAGAGACAACCCACGCGATGGTAAAACATTTTTGCCAGCTGTTCCTCAGACAAAGGATTAATGCCTAAAATATATAAGGAGCTCAAAAATACAGAACCACCCCCAAATTCAAAAAATGGGCATCAAAAATGAACAGACCCTTCTCAGATGAAGAAGTAGAAATGCTAAAGAAATACATGAAATACATGATAAAGGGCTGGGCATTTAGCTCAGTGGCAAAAGCACCTGCCTTGCAAGCAGGTAGTCGTGAGTTCGATCTCTGGTACCTCTCTCACTAAGTCACCTCTCCCATTAAATAGGCACCAGAAAAGCTAACATAAAAGAATAAACAATGGGGGCTGGGGATTTAGCTCAGCAGCATAAGTGCCTGCCTTGAAGCAGGTGGTCATGAGTTCGAGCCCTGGTACCAGTTTAAAAAAAAAAAAGAAGAATGAACAGTGTCAGGGGTAAAGATGATATGCGCACTGACTTCTCACATGCTGTTGGTGTCAGTACAATGCCACTTTTAGCAATATCTCTTAAGGCTGAACAAATGCATGGGATATCTATCACTCCACAGTTCTCTGCTTTTTTTTTTTTTTTTTTAAAGGATCTGAGGGCCAGGGATATAGCTTAGTGGCACAACTCCTGTTTGGCAACACAACGTCCTGAGTTCAAGTCCCATTACCTCCCCCCCAAAAAAGACAGGTTCTCAGTATAAAGCCCAAGAGGGGCGCAAACTCGCAGTCTTCTTGCCTCAACATTCTGCCCTGCTGAGTTTATAGGCATATGCCGCCATGCTCAGCCATAGCTTCACTCTCATACACAAAAGAAATAATACACAAGAATACTCAGGATAGAATTGATAAAAACTGGAATCAACCTGAATGTTCATGAATAGAAAAGAACAAATTTTGATATATTGGTATGCTGGATTACCAGACAACAGATGAGAATAGGCAAAAAATATAGGACACAGGTAAATCTCATGAACAATGAAACAACCAAGAAACACAATATAGGTACTATTTTACTTCATTTAGTCAAGAAGAAGCAAAAATAATCAATGGTGAGAGATCAAGACCATTGTTAGAATTGGAGGAAAGGTACAAGGATTCCTCATTTAACCACCAAGTCCTATTCCTGTCAGTACAGTGTTAAAAGAATTAGTTGCTAAATGAGGAGCTGTATATAGTACATACATTACAACACTCAGCACAAAGAAATGGTCAAAGGAAACTCCAACTTGATGACTTTGCCTTTATTTGCACAACTTCTATGCAGTATATAATGTACAACAGAACATGAAACTACAGTACCATAGAGTACCATCAGAAAAAGTATAGTACTGTATAAACATTACAAACTAAAAAAAAAAACAAACAAAAAAAACCATTGAGAGTCTCTGAACCAGATGTGCAGAACTTTACAAAAAAGAGGAGGCATAAGTCTGAGCAGCAGGGAAGTCCAAACAGTTGTTAAGCAGGTAATTAAATGAGAAACACCTGTACTGGAAACTAGGCAGGGGCTTCCAGTGTTTCATTTTGATGTAGGAACTGTTTCTCAAGTGTGTTGGCTCTATGGAAAATTCGCTGAGAAGATTTCTGATATTTGCTATAGTTGGGGGCCTTCATTCTGAGGAGCATTCTCTGCTCTCTTTTTATTTTTTATTTAAGACAACTGCTAAGTTTCTCAGGCTGGGCTCAAATTTCTGATCCTCCTGCCTTGGCCTCCCTAAGGGTTGAAGATTCCAGGAATGCACTACCATGCCCAGCCTTTTACTTCAATTTTTAGAAGTAGGGCACATTCTGACCTGCCTACCTAATGTGCCAAAAGTACACCGGGCACTTACTTGACAGGCCTCTCTAGTCAAACAACTACCAAAGATGAGCCTGATTCCAGGAAAGGAAAAGGACCAAAACAAGTTTGTTTCATGGTTTCTGTGTTTCTGAAATGCTGCATCAGGTGCTCAGATGGTGACGGGACCTGGTGGCATCATCACATTATGCACTAAACTAAGCATTTCCAGGCTGCTACACTGAGAACCCCCCAGAAACAAATCACCAGGCAACCACCTCATCAGCAGGTGTGACAACACCCACTGCCTGAAACCAACTCTACAAAACTCCTGTCACTTCCCTCTCAGGTCCTGCCTGCCTGTTTTTTCCAAAAACTGAATAGATTAACTATGTATTAGATAAACTGTAGATCTATCTCAAATTATAGTCAATATATTACAAAAACAAAACTAAACCATCACAAATTTACAAATACCTGTATATACTATAAAATCCTTCACATAAACTGCTCCCCATTACCTCCCTACACAAATACAAGTTGGCCAGTTCTTATAATCTTCTATAGTAAAATCTGACCTAAATAAACTCTGACATTTATAAGATTCCAATGAGAAAAATCTTAATGTGACTAGGAGGGATGGAGCTCAGTGACAGAGCACTTAGGCAAACACAAATGAAGCCCTCCTTCAACCCTATGCTCCACAAAAGCAAACAATTTACTGATTCTCTAACCAACAAAAGAAACATATAGCACTAACATCAAATTATTGTTTCTAAAAAGGAAATTCAAATGCTTGGCTTATTAATCTTTCAGGAGAATTGACTATAGCCAACAAATACATTAGGGCTAGTGTTCATTTGCCGATTTATCACTGCAGACTCATCATGACAGCATAGATGTATGCTTATTCAGGTCTACCTGAATGGACCAGAAAGGCAACTATTATGAACAAGTAAAATGGTACTCGATGGCTTATAAACACCTAAATAATAAGCTACTTATCTCCCACTATGCTGTGTACCATTTACCTTACATTTTCCTAGTTTTACTATGTTCTCCCTTCGCATGCCATTCAGTCTCCATTTAATTCCACAAGAGGCAGTTTTGAGATACTGGGCTGAATGTAATATAATTAAAGAAAGAACTACAGTTGTTTCCAACTTTGAGGTGGTTTTTACTTTTATATATTTGTTTTTGGTACTGGGGATCAAACTCATGACTTTATGCTTGCCAGGCAGAAGCTTATGCTGCTGAACTAAATCCCCAGCCCAGTTGTTTTAAACTTAGAAGTCTAGTCTAAAAGGAGAAAGTTCCTAAAGAATAAATTTCCAGTTTTCTATCCCTTATTACAAATGTGATTTACAAACACCGGTATTCTGTAAAGATAGTCTGTAAAAATTTTTCTCTGTGAAATCAATCCTTGTCTACCAAATTTCAAGGGCTAGAGATAATATCTCAGCAGCAACAAGCATCTGCTTGGCAAGAGCAAGGTCCTCAGTTCGATTCCTGATACCAAAAACAAAAAAAAATTATTATCTACCAAATTTCATTAGAAAACTGCAAATCCTTGAGATACAATCCTAAACACACATACAATTCCTGAGATACAAGCCATGGGAAGCCTACATTAAGCAAGAGATCTCACAAAACAGAATCAAAGAAACCAAGGACCATGCCGCTTGGTTGTTGTTTCAAGTCTTTTTAAAAAACCTTCAAAGTGCATTCCCAAATCTTTAGCAGTTCCTCAGCGAAGAGTGAAAGTAGTAAGATATTTTCACATGACTTTACAGAACACTAGTTTGTTTGCCCTAAGTAGCTGAATCCCCAGGAACTCTGCATGCGCTTACAAACACTAGGAACTATCATTTGACAAGTGGTTGGTTACACAAAATATACAGGTACAAAAACAAAAGATGGTACCACAGAAAGACACGTAACAGAAAAAACCTGTAGTTTCAGGTGAAAACCACACATACCTGTGGAAGCGCAGTATTGAGTTGTCTCTGCAACGAATCTCTCTCATGACCAACCTCGAGTAATTTCCCCTGGGTCAACGCCAATGTTTCTTGAGTCTCTATCAGTGTGCTCTGAGCAATGTATGTTTCTTCTAGCATGGACATCATGTGCTGTTCAAAATGGGAATCTGCATCTGGTTGTGAAGGGCAGCCAGATCCATGGTTTTCACTTCCTCCTGAAGGGCCTTCTTCACTGATGGTGGGCATCACCTCACACATCATTTTGGAACAAAAACACAGGACTAGTCATTATACGGAAAATACAGGTTCCCACAAATCTACAACTTTATGAGTATCTGTAGCTAATAAAGGAAAGCTGACAATCTCTTTATTCACAGATCTGTTATTCTTTGGATGCAAATACTCTGTGAAGATACACCCAGGCACCCATTAAATGCAGAAAGCCACCACATGAAGACACTAAAGAAGACAACAACGCTGGGAAGATGTAAGGCCCAAAGAGAGCTACTTATTTCTCCTATAAAGAATAGAGCAAACCATGTGAGGTTTTGTTTGCAAAAGCAAACTTTTTAGTTTTGAAAACAAGTGCGCTTCTGTTACCTAATTTTTTCTATTTCCTGGTAGGGGCCCATTCCACTCAATCCTTTTTCAGGAAAAGCACAGAAGCAGTATACAGCCAGGAAAACTGACAAGTACAAAATCCAACAGGCATCTTACATCTTACATCTTATTGACTGTGTGCAGTCAGCTCCTGGGAAGGCCTGCCTGAATTCTTGGGCTTAATTTAGTGAACACAGAAAGGAATTGGATTTGCTATGGCTCAAGAGAGATGTTTTTCAAGGACTGCAGTGGCTGTTCAGTCAACCTAACTTAAGTTTACAGCTCAAAAAAAAAAAAAAAAAAAAAGAAGAAGGCTTCACAATGGAAATACAGCAGGTCAGTACAGTGGAGAATGGTTAGGAAGGAAAGGTGAGAGGTACGATCATGAGAGGCTATTGTGTCACATAGACAGACGGGCCTAATGAGGGCGACAGGGATCGCTGAAGACTTCCAGGTAGTACCCCAGGCAGGTGCGACCCTCCAGCAAGAGATCCCCGCGACCGCACACCTGACCACGATGATTTCTAGCACCTCACCGGGTGCTGTACAAGTTCTGGCCCCACTTACCCTAGAGCTTTCCAGGACGCGGCCATACAGGCGAGTCCACAGTGCCATCACTGGGGTCTCCTGGGCAATGTGCAGTGGTTTAGAATCCGTCCCTCGAGACCTAGGGGGTCCTGCTAGCCGCGAGCAGGACCAACCGCCAGCGCAGGACCAACCGCCAGCCAAGCGCTGAAGCTTTGCCCCCGGCCACGCGCACCCCCGCGTGACATTTGGCGGGTGGCCCCTGGCCAGCTCCAACCTTCCTGCCTCAGTCTGGAGGTGACCAGAGGCACCTAATGTGGCTGCATGGTAGCTCCTCATAGTTTTACCGAAGTAGCTGAGGAAACTCTTGTGTGGCAGAACACGCTAGAGAAAAAATGACATGGGTCAAAAATGAAGCTACAGTTAGAGTGAGGAGGGATTCTGGTTATGGTGATCTGACTGCACCTCAAATTCACCTACTCAGTTGATGCCCAATCATAGCTAATGCCCAAGGTTCTGCTATCAACAGCAACTTCATTAAGCGCATGGGCTGAATGACATCTCCACTGTGAATTCTTTAACAGTTCCTCACCATGGGGAAGCTGTTCTTTCCTACTTTAGCACTTAGGCCACTGGGGACTGCTGAGAATCTAGGGCCCAGGGGGACAAGGGGAGAGACGGAGTCCACGTTCCATCTGGGGACTGGACTGGACTTGGGGTGCATTCACAACAAAGCTCCAGAGAGTCACCCCCAAGGACCTGGATGACTTTGTCGCCCGTGTGGGGAGGATTTTGCAACAGCTGGAGGCTGTAAGCTTGAAGGTGGTGTCATGGATGGTTAGGAGTCCTATATTAGATATATAGAGATCTCATTTGTAGCTGTGGGCTGTGGGAGCCGGGGCAATGCAAGTATATAAAGTTGAGCAAATACGCTCCTAACAATGAGTATAAAGTGCAATGTACTTAACTATACACAAGACAGTTATATGGGGTGCCTAACTGAATGACATGCAATATTGGGGTCTTTTTGGTAGAAATGGAGATATTATTAAATGTTTTCAATGAAGAGAGTCATTTTTCAGGTCTGTTTTAGAAACATTTCTGACTCCTTACTTTGGCAAGAAGGATGGGGTGAGAACCTAAAAGCTGGGCCAGCAGAAGTAGAAAATAAAGTTGGTCTCTATTTTGTGAATATAAAGGGGATAGATTCAGAGGTATTTAAGAGGACTAAGGGTTGTGTGCAATACTGGAATGATAAAAAGAAAAATCTTTGCTGACAATCCCAAAACCTTCAGAGGTAGTATTATGTCAGACTTTAAAATACAAAATGGCCTCGCATAGTGGTGCACACCTGTAAACAAAGTACTTGGAAGGCTGAGGCAGGAGGATTGCTGTGAGTTCCAGCCTATGCTATACAGTGAGTTCACAGCCAGTCTGAACTATACAATGAGACCCTGTCTCAAAAAACCAATAACAACAACAAACTACATAACAAACCTAAATTGCTTCGGTTTGAATTTTGGCTTTACTATTTATGAACATTATAACCCTAGACTCTGGTATATAGTTATTACAACTTTTTTCATCTGGAAATTGATATTTTAATAGTGCCTATTCTTAATGCAGTCACTCTGAATAGAAATAATTTCATGTTAAAACATCTTTAGAATACTGCCTCATGCCAGGCATGGTGGCTCATATCTGTATGAGGTTGAGGCAGGAGGATTGCCCTGAGTTCAAGATTAGCCTGGGCTACATAATGAGTTTCAGGCATGTGGAACACCACCAACAACAAAAAGCCAAAAGGAAAGTCAGAATACTGCCTCGCACTCAAATATATTTTCTACCATTATCCCAGCCCGAGTAGCACCATGAACATCAATAAAAGACAGCGAGAGGTCCAGTGTCCTGGCTACTCTGGAGGCTGAATCGGGAAGATCACTTGAGTCCAGGAGTTCAAGAGCAGCCTGAACAGCATAGAATTCAGCTGAGAAAAAAAGTAAACAAAACAAAACAAATAAACAAAAACCAATAGACTTGGAAATGTAGAGGACAAAGGAAACACTGAGTTCAATTTTGGACATAAACTTGTTTCTGACACGTGGTAGTCATGTAACATTTGTTGAATAAGAACACAAATAAGCAGATTCCTCTTTCTTTTATTTTCCGTTTTTCTTTGTTTGGTGGAGGGGGGGGATACTGGGAATCAAACTCAGGACCTCATGCTTGTCAGGTTCTCTTTCTTTTTTTGTGAGCACTTACAAAACGTCATATGTTAGTCACTGTCAAAACGTCATATGTTAGTCACTGTTGTAAAGTCTTTACCTATACACCTTTACCTTTACCCTCCTCCTTTAGCAGCATAGTGAATAGATATGCGGAGTAGTGATACTAGCACAGGTCTCATTCCCAGGGGGTGAAAAGGGTCTGGTTTATTCTGCAAGGAGTCAGAAAGTAGACCAGCTGGAATTTGGATCCAGACAATTTGACTCCAGTGCTGGGTGCTGAGTCCCCAATGTTGCAAATCATTTGAAAACTCTGCCCCCTACTATTTCAATACTTGAGTCTATTAAGATACTGCACCCAACCCAGGCTTGGGAGGTTGCAGCAGGAGGATCACCCTGAGTTCAAGGCCAGCCTGGGCTACATAACAAGACACTGTATTTTTAAAAAAAAGTTTGCATCCTACCTCTTTACAGCATTAGATGTTTAATAATAAAGATTCCTATCATTTACTGAATGGGTACTATGTGCCAGGCATTATACTTACATATATTGTCTCAGTCCTCATATTTTTATTTCCATACATAGAAACTAAGGATCAGAGATATTAGAAACATACACATAAGCACATTGCTACTAAGCAGCGGATGAGATCTGAGATCAGGTCTGGGTATTCCCATAGTCTATATGTTGCTAGACTAAATTCAGCTATGTTACACATGGGACTCACCATATCTACAAGTTCTGCATCCATAGATTCAAACAACCATGAATTGAAAGTCTGTGGTGCCCCCAGGTTGAACCAGGATCATCAGTTTGAGCCCAGCCTGGACAACTTTTGGGCTCAAGCAGGCGTGGCTCAAGGAAAAAAAGAATATTGCCATGTGGCTCAGTGAAAAGAACCTATGTTTCATCCCTAGTACTGCAATTAAGTAAATAAATATAAAAAAGAAAAAAGAAAGTATTTTGGGAAAAAATTTATGTCTATACTCTGCAGTATATTTTCTCCTTGTCATCACTTCTTAATTAAATGTTGCAATGCAATGACTGCTTAGATGGTGTATACATTATGTGAGCTATTAAAAGCAATTAGAGATGATTTAAAATATACAGGAGTATTGCATAGGCTCTATGTAAACATGACACTATTTTATATAAGGGAATTTGGAGAGCAGGTGTCCTGTAACCAATCTCCCAAGGGTACCAAGAGACAAATGTATTTGCAGCATCCTATTGTGTTTTTACCTGATAATTGTGACTCCGATGAACTCTGCAGCCACTTCATGAAGTTTGAAAAAGTTATGGAACTGAGGTTAGGAGCTCCAATAGTACTTATCAAACTTTTGTTGCATGGAAATCATGTATAAAATCCTGGACCTTGCTCAAAGATCTTGACTCCGATTTCTAAGCGTTAATTCTTACACCTATCCAGTACCTGATGTAATTCGATGCAAGTTCTCCACGAATTGTACTTGGAGGGCTACCATAAAGGATTGGGTTCGTTCAACATTTGAAATTCTGGTTTAAGTTTTACTGCAGCTTGGTTATTAGTTCCATAGCTTATTACTCCTTACAAATCATTTCATATTTGCTATTGTTAATTTTGCTGCGGATGAGCGTGTAGGAACCTGAAACAATATGCAGTCTGCCTCTTCCTCCTTTGTCATTGTTTTCCACTTAATACCCCTTTCCCCGATGAGATGCCAGGCAAGGTTAAATGGTCAGACTTGTTTTTAACAGAAACTAAATGTATGCTAGTTGTGCAAGCAAAGCACTGGCTTCAAATCTTACTTCTGCCTCTCTGAAATTTGCTTCCTCATCTGTAAAATTAGGTCAACAGGACCTACTTCTACTTCACAAAGTTGTGAGGTAATGAGGTAGCCAGTATGTAGTTAGTGTTTTAGTAACTGATGACTTTCATCCATGCATGATACACCTTTCCCTTCAGAGGGAAATCGCATGCAAGGATTATGCTATATGTTGAAGAAGGACTGTCGTTTCTTAGGCATGTTCAGGAGGAGACTAGCAAGATTAAATGTGTATAAACCTGTAGTTTTTCATGCTTAATAGTTTCATTTTCATTCAGCCCATCCAAAGGCTAACCCCAGTTAGATATTTACTTTTGATAAATATTCCACAATCATCTCTTACTCATTGCTTACCCTGAGAACTAGGTCAGTATGATTGTCTTAGCCACTTTTCTCATTGCTGAGACAAAAACACCTGACACCTGAAGTTAAGGAGGAAAGGTTTATTGTAGCTCACACTTTGTAGAGGTTTCAGTTCACAGTTGACTGTCTCCAAGGCAGGGTGGCATGGCAGAGGGGCATCATAGAGGACAAACAGTTTATAGTAGGCAGAAAGCAGCAAATCCACAGGCAGTAAACAGCAAGTGATCAGCATCTTTCTATCGTTTGTACTCTATTCAGGTAGCACTGACATCCAGGGTCTCACCCAGGTCATCCTAGCGTCTCACTGTGAATCAATCCCAGCATCACATCCTTAATCCTGGCATCACATAACTTTATATCCCACTGCCTCTGAAAACCCCCACCTACG